ATTGTCACTAGAGAGAAGGATATCATTGTGTATTTTAAGTAAAGAAGTTTCAGTACTGTGAGCAGGTCTGAAACCAGATTGAGATACAGGTAGCAAAGAGTTAAAGTCTAAATAGGATGAGAGTTGATTAAAAACAACTTTTTCTATTATTTTAGAGATGAAAGTAATATTAGTTACAGGTCTATAATTAGATAAAGAGGTAGGATCTAGGGATGTGTTTTTAAGAATAGGAATAACAATAGAATTCTTATAAGAAGTAGGAAATTTAGAGGTGGAAAGAGATAAATTAACTAATTTGAGAATGATTGGATAAAATATTGAAGAGAATTCTTTAAGTAAATTGGAAGGAAGTAGATCTAGAGAACAGGTTGTAGACGACATAGAATTAATAATTTTAGTTAGTTCTAAAAGATTTATTGGAGTAAATACAGAGAAAGATTCAGTAGTAAGTTTAGTAAAGTTATGAGAAGGAAAATTAGAATTAGATGTTCTTAAAGAAGTAATTTTATTTATAAAAAAGTCATGAAACTGTTGAGCAGAGAAAGATGAGTGAGAAGATTTTTTATGTAGAAGTTTAGATAGAACAGACCACCTATTTTTAGATGTTGAAGCAGATGTTATAGAATTTCTAAGAAAAGTAGAGTGTTTAGAGAATAGTAGTGTTTAGAAATGTACACGTAGTTACGTACGTTTTAAAAGAACAACTTAATGATATTCCGTCAAAATAAACTCACTTATTCGTCTTTGTATGTTCGGTTGTTTGTATGTTTGTTTGATACAACACAATACAGTACAATACAATACGAACTTGATACATAATACACAAATAAATATGGTACTGCAACGATAAATCTTTCCAAGGCTAAAACGCTAACAGAAAAACCTAGAAAAACATAAACAAAACACACACACATATACACAGACACACACACATATGATAACACACACACACAAACACGCATTGTAACACACACACACACGTGGTAACACATAAACACGCACGCACATGATAACACAAACAAACACACACACACACACACACACACACACATGGTAACACACACACAAACATACATTGTAACACACACACACACACATTGTAACACACACACACACACACACATTGTAACACACACACACACAAACAAATGCATACATCACAAACAAACTTAAACAAAACCCACACACAAACATCCAAAACATGAACGAATAAACATCGGTCGGTTGGTCGGTCGGTCAGTAGAAAAAGAGAGAAAATTGTTTTCTTTCTAGCATGGGACCGGCAAGGTATAAAAAGTTGATGACTGTTTAAAATTAAAGGCTGCATGTATCCATTATGACATTAACAACAACATCAAAGACATCAACCACCATTGCAACAGTAACATAAGCAGACAAAGACAAACAACCAAACTAAGGAACAGACATACAAACAAACTGATTAACAAGCAAGTAGACAAACTTTCATAACAACAATCATCAGACGGACAAACAAACACAGACAACTAGAAAGACACAGAAAAACATAAACAAACAAACAAACAGTCAGACAGACAAAAAGACAGACAGACACCTTGTATCCAGTATGGTTCCCTTGACATCTTGCTTAGTGGTGAACTGTTCGATTTCGTTGATCGGTGACGTCACGATGACGTTCTTCAACTCTGCCAACCTCCTAGCAACACATGCGATCATCATCTGCTGACCACCACTACCACCGCCGCCGCCGCCACTGCTGCTGTTGCTACCGGAAGCTGTTTTAGATAGTAGTCGTTGACGACGGTGATGATGATGATTATGGTGGTGGTTGTAATCGTAGTAATGATAATGATTGCGTATGTGCGAACTAGATGATCTAGATAGATATCATAATTCATGAATTATGTTAACTGGATACATGCATGCATCTGCTTATGCAGGAATGCAGTAGACAGACGCGTGGGCGGCCAATTCTTTCCAGTCAAATGTTGATGATGTGGAGAGAGAAAGAGAGAGAGAGAGAGGGAAAGAGAGAGGGAGAAAGAAAGAAAGAGAGAGAAGGAGAGAGAGAGAAGGAGAGAGAGAGAGAGAGATAAGCTCTTTGAAGAAAATTTAAGAAAATTTAAACATCTAGTTGAGCGGTCAGGCAAAGCTGCTGAAATATATTTCTACGCATTTAAATCGTGTGTGTGTGTGTGTGTGTGTGTGTGTGTGCGTGTGTTGTGCGTGTATGTGTGTGTATATACACATTTTTAGTGAGATTTTATTACGGTGTTTGTGTGCGTGTGCTTGTTTATGTGTGTACGTGAATGTGTGTGTATGCAGGTTGAAGAATGTTTAAAAGTACGTCTTCTTTGTGTTTAGTATGGGAGTGTTTGATGTCTTTATGAAT